CGAAATTAACATCCCAATGTCCAAGGCCATTGACAAAAATATGAGTTCGACCTCATTCGAACTATGACGGGATACAATTTCGACGCCAGCTCGAAAGTAACATCCCAATGGCCAAGACCATCGACAAAAATATGAGTTCGACCTCATTTAAACCATGATGGGATACTATTTCGATGCCATCTCGAAAGTAACATCCCAATGGCCAAGGCTATCGACAAAAATATGACTTCGACCTCATTCGAACTATGACGGGATAATACTTCGACGCCAACTCAAAAGTAACATCCAAATGGCTAAGGCCATCGACAAAAATATGAGTTCGACCTCATTCGAACCATGACGGGATATTACTTCGGCGCCAACTCGAAAGTAACATCCCAATGGCCAAGGTCGTCGACAAAAATATAAGTTCGACCTCATTCGAACCATGACGGGATATTACTTCGACACCAGCTCAAAAGTATCCTCCCAATGGCCAAGGCCACCGACAAAAATATGAGTTCGACCTCATTCGAACAATGTTGGGATATTATTTCGACGCCAGCTCGAAAGTAACATCCTAATTTCTAAGGCCATCGACAAAGATACAAGTTCGACTTCACTCGAACTACGCCAGGATATTACTTCGATGTCGGCTCGAAGGTAACATCCTAAAGGCTAAGGCCGTCACTAAAGAAAAGGGTCTGACATCACTCAAATCGACAAAAATATAGCAAAAAGTGCCATTGAATCAACAAAACAATTTTTTCATTACGATAAAATATTACCGGCACCTATCTTTACATTGGGCTCAAAGATGCCCTTACAAAAATCCTACAGCAAAAGTAAGTACAAACCAAAAATTACACATCATCCATAGTAGCATACACATCCTCGTACCAAGAGTCAGACGCAAGACGGTTCGCATCATCAAAGTTTATATCATCTCCGTCAGGCGTAAGTGGGTCATATCTGCATGCCTCACGAGATGCCCGAGCTTTGGCACGCATATCCTGAAGTTCTACTTCAGATGTCCTCCCGTCGGCATGAAGAGCCTTGTACACATCAAGCTGTGCCTCGGCGTGAACCCACAAATCATACAACTGACGAGGCACGATGGGATCGGCCAAAGCATGGGACGTAGAAGGTTGTGAGTGTCGACGCGTGTCCTTCGTTATCAGTGATGCCACTTGTCCAATCAACGTGGGTAACTCCGCCTCTAACCCCTTAGCACGCCCCTCAAGCCCCGCTACCTTAAGCATGGATGCCTCCTTCTCTTTGGTCAGCTCCGACCTACAGATACAGAGTGTATTTATCAAGACCGCCACTTCAAAAATAGCAGTCGCCAGTTTATCAGCACTTACACTAAACTCACCGATGATCTCGTTAATCTCTGCCCGTCTTCATACCCAATTTTTTAGTAAAACAAGCTATCTTTGCTTGTAGGTCAGCATTCTCGGCCATCACCCCTCTATTTAACTCGAGCTCATCTTCCTTCACCTTAAGGGACGCCTCGAGTTCACTGTTGCGGGCGATGACCTTCATAAGGTCCTCGTCTCGCTCCCTCAACTCCTCGACCTTGCGCGCTAGCTGATCCTCCCTCTATTTAAGCCTTTCGCGAAACAGTTGGAAATCAAGGTCCTGATGGTAGATGTCGGCTATCGCACGATACTTGTTTCGATATTCTTGGTATTTAGAAGACATCTTCCCATAGATAGCCGCCCTCTTCCTTTCCCAACGCTCGTGCTCGATCTCCATGATAAGGGTCTGGCACAACAAGAAAAAAGTTAAAGCAAAAAGATAGGTCGACAATATCAATGCAAACCTAATGACGAAAAGGAAGACAAAGATATCTACCCGCAAGGCCATGCCGGCGACATTCGAGACAACTCCATGTCGCTCATCACTCTAAGCGCCTTGCTCTCGGGGGCGCCACATAAATGGGCTAAATCAGACGGCACCTGATCATAGTTCGACAACAAGTTGTAGTCCCCAAGGACAACTATATGTCAATCAGAACCCTCCACTCTAACCTTCACATGAGTATGGCATTCTAAAAACTCTCGAACATCCTCCGGGTCGACATTTGAACCCGAGCCTTCGCCCTCGACGTGCATGACCCCTCCAACATTAGATGATGCGCCAGCCTCAGCGGAGCACACGGAGCCGCCTCCTAGGTAAACCCCTTCCATTAGGGGAGACCTCCCCGCCAAGATGGCGTCGGCCATAAACGTGGGCACAGGTGTCGTCTACGATGCACCCATCCTGCTTTTACCGGTGTCCACAACCATATCCTTCCCTAGCTCCACTCTCCTCCTTTTCCTCAGTAACAACTCATCCCCATTAGAGGATTCGTCCACGAGGTGAGGGGTCGGTACAGAAGAGGCATCTTCCTTCACGACCATATCCCGAGAAGGATCTTCCATTTGTATCGGCTGAGCACGACCCCCTCGGACGGATTCATTCAAAGTAAACTGCATTCTTGCAACGATAGCCTGTCAAAATGCAGGGACTGGGGCCCTCCGCCTAGAAGCTCCTCGACCTGTCATCTTGAAGATTCAAATCAATAGACATCGGTATATAACCAACGAAGTGATACAGGGGAAGACATTTACCAGATGAAACTCTTGGCCCAAAACGTTTCACAAAAGCGGGCCAATCTCGGGTCTCCGATGCATGAGGCAACAAACGGGTTACCCAATCCCTTATGTCTGCAATAGGGTGGGGTGGTCACCCCATAGTTGCGAACGAGAAGCAAATAAACACTATAATGAATGAAGAAGAAAAGAAAGAGTAAAACAAGTAGCGACACTTACGATTCTCGTTCCAGCGCTCCGGGAACCTAGCGGGGTCAGATACAATATGTTCGGTTTTGACAAAGAAGTACTTATGCCAAAATTTGAGACTTGCTCGGTTGTCGGTCCCAACTACCAGCCCTTTTGTCCCACGGTGCCTCAAATGCACCATAGTGCCCCTATGAAATCTAGGTGCGAACAGGTGCAGAAGGTGGTGAACGGTAACCTCGCACCCCGCCAACTCCGCATACTTTGTCAACAGCAGAAGTATTTTAAGCGTATATGGGGAAAGTTGCACCAGGAAAACCTGATAGAATCGACAGAACTCCTCCGCTAATGGGAGAAGAGGGAAGGAATGACCTATCACGAAAGGGTACTCATACAAAGCACAGTACCCAGGCCTATGGACTTCCACAAAGTCCCTTCCCGCTGGAACCATATCAACATGAGCGGGGATGCTATATTTTGTACGGAGAGCATCGATATGAACTTGTTCAGTTTTAGAGACCACGGGGGTAGGAGGAGGAGGAGGATCTTTGAGAAAGTCACTTCGAGACATGGGGTGTCTCGGCAGCAACTCCTCTATGGTGGGAAAGTTGTCTCCCTCTTCCACTGTCATGTCCCCACCGCCAGAGGGGAGCGCCATGGACAACAGGGTGGCGTCAGAGACCCCCTCATGAGATCGATGTGTTCTAGGCATATTTTCAACGGAAAAGGTGTTAAATTAACAAAGAAAGCTATGAACGAAGAATGGGAGAAGAGGAAGCAGAAAAATCGTTGGAGCAAACACGGGAGGGATGAGAAAGGATAACCAGAAATGAAATGGCCAAGAGTTTTTGAAAAAATAAACCCTCCACATATTTATAGGATTGGGTGGCACCAAAATCAAAGTGAAAGGCTGCAGAGTGGCATCGAAATCGAAGCGACAAGCCCTCAACCCCTATCTCGAAAAAACGCATAATGATGACGCACGTGAAGATGATGTCATTTCCCGATAAGATACACTATCCAGTGTCTTGTTGAGCACGCTAACCTCCCATTGTTGGCCAAGCCACAACGCTTCGTAAAATCAAATTTCTCCACAAGAGTGGGTGGTGTCCGCTTATCAAGGACACATCAAGTTGCAACCTCGACAAGCGGCGGGACTAACTGTATGGGTCAAAATTTGGACGACCACGACCATTGACGAATACGACAAACAACGAGATCCTTGTAACTCGACGTCCTGTGGAGGACGACAGACAAGCGAACAGAGACTGCATGACTTTTACAGTAGTGTAGGCCCAACAGAGGGCCCTAGGAATATTCTTTCGAATATTCCCTATGATATGTCTTTTAGGGTTCAGAAGGGGTTTGTCCCTTATATATAGCGGGAAAACAACCTTGTAAGAGAACTTTTTTGCTTTTTTAGCTAAGAACACTGACTGTAATACTTTTCTACATAAACGATTGGCATACTTAATGTTCGATCACTCATCTGGGCAAGATCAAGAAATATTGTCCACTGTGTTCATCTTTTATACCTTTTATTCTAGCGTTTATTATATTTAGCTAAGATTTACCCTTTTATTTTCTTTAATTGATTTATTCAAAAAGGTTCCAATATCTTTTGAATCAAACAATGTGTACGTTGTAGCTTTCTTTTCTCATTAACTATCAATATGAAACTTTGTCAGCACACCCGTTTCGTTTTCCGTTCACCAAGTCACATTTTCGCACTAATTTGTTACCATGAATTTACATTGTTTTCTAGCCAGTCGGATTCACTTTTTACTTTTTCTAACCAATTTACATAAATTATACACATGTTACACATGAGTTACACATATATTATATATTTGCCAGCTATTTTTAGTTTAAACAATTGGGGAACGCCTATTTAAGTTAATTCTTCTTTAATATAATTTTAAACTGAAGAGGCTTTAGTATAATTGTACAGACTTCTTTGGAAGAATGCTCAAGAAGATGGATAAAGGAGAAAATTATATGATAGTAATAGTTCAAAAGTATACAGGAATAAACTCACACCCAAACAACAGTAAACAGAGAAAAACTGAGTGGACTGAGGAAATTTGGATCATGGGTCCCCACTTATCCATATTAGTCACTCCAAAATCTTGATTCTGATGTGGATTCCTTATCCAATTTACTCACACGTGGCAGCAACTGCAACTGCATCAATAATATCTCTATGGATAATACATGATTTATACTACTCCATATCATATCATTTCACATCCAAGAAAACAAATCAAAACATATAAGACGATTTTCAGAATGGCCTCATCTATAGCTAATTGTATGCAAATTATCTCAGCTAATCCAGCCAAGAAATCCATTGCAATTCCATCAAACTTTTTGGGTACAAAGATTTCACCTTTGAATATTAGTACTGCTCACAAGAACAAGAAACATAGATCTTTGAAAGTGGTAGCTGCAGTTGGAGATGTGTCTTCTGAGGGAACAACTTATTTGATTGCTGGTGCTGCTGCTGTCGCATTGCTTGGAACTGCTTTTCCTATACTCTTTTCCCGCAAAGACACGTATTTTCCCATTCTTCTCTGTTATTTTAATTGTCGATTTAACCATATGGTATTTGAAACGCGCTAGCCTAATTAATTCGAATTCGCACCGAATAGGCCACCAAGTGGAGTGAAAAACTGTGTAAAAAAACTCTCTATTCTCATGAAAAATCGTGACCTGTTAATTGGCCACATTTAGAGCTGTCCCTTTTATTGATTTTTCTCGATGAAGGAGAGCAACGGTCAAGTTGTCTTGCGTGACCTATAAGTCACGGTTCGAACCGTGAAATTAGCCTTGCATCAGAGTAGGTTGCCTACATTACACTCTTTTGGGGAGCCCTTCCTCGAATCCTGCATGAACACGGAATACGTTATGCACTGAATTGTCTTTTTATTAGTATTATTTTTCTTGGTGATGTTTTAGTAATTGGGGAGTAAAACACATTGTTTTGAATTTGGTTGTTTGAATAGGTGTCCAGAATGTGATGGAGCAGGATTTGTGAGGAAAGGAGGGGCAACTTTGAGAGCAAATGCAGCTAGAAAGGATCAAGTTCAGATTGTATGTGCAAACTGCAATGGTCTTGGCAAGCTCAACCAAGTTGACAAGTAAAGAGCAGCAGATTAGACAATAGTATAATACTACTTACTATATAATTACTTCTTACTTTGTACCTGTCGAACTTCTTTTTTATTTTCTTTCGTTGGGTATATTTATAGCTGTAGAACTTGTAATCATGTATACAGGAATTTCTCCTTCAATACATTTGCAAGTTCTAATATTCTTTATATTCTCAAAATGCCCATAATTTCTCTTGTTTAGAAACTCCAATTAGTTCCTAACTGAGTTTATACAAGATCTTAGTCCAATTGAAAGGTTTAATTATTATATGTGGTATGATGAAGCCTTTGAGCAATGGTAAAGTTGTCTACTTGTGATCTATAGATCAGTTCGAGCCGTGAAAGTAGCTATAAATGTTTGCATTAGGGTAGACTGTCTACATCACACCCTTTAAAGTGCAGGGGGTCCCCGACCAATTCTGTGGCCTAAAGCCAAACTTTACGAGGGGGCCTTAACTTTTTAATTTATTTATTTAAAATCTATTTTTTAGCTTTTCTTAGATATAAAGTTATAAATAATTTTCTTACACAATCAATAACTCCAAAAAAGTATTTCTCAATCGACAATATAAATAATCCATTTAACGTTTCTTGTGACATTGTTGTTCTTAGGTAAGATTTTTATCAATTTTAATTTTGAAAACTTCTTTCCGCTGAAGCAACGGTAACGTGAGTTATTAACATTACTCCATAAGCAATTTAGGCATTTGGAAAAAAATTAAATCTTTTTATTTGATTAAGTGTATCAATTAAATTGTTATTTTCTAATTGTACTATTTTTCTTAATACCTTTAATTCAGAAAATAAATCTAAACCATCAATATTGAATTGATTATTATGCTTTAAGGAACATCCAAAATTAAGGAAATGTTTTTTCAAATTTCCAACATTTAGTGATCTTAGTTTTTACTGCCAAATAGAAAACCAAGAATATTTTCATATGCTTCAAATTGTTCAAATCTATTTTGAAGTGAAAAAATAGCCTTGTCTATTATGTATAAAAATAATTAACTCTAAAGGACTCTTCGAAAGATTTTGAGATTTCATTATCAATATTGCATCGAATTGTTACTTCCTATACATCACATATTTTTTATAAATTGGGGTTCGATATTCATTTCAAGTGCAATTTCCTTGGTAGAAATCATTGCAATTGCAAATACTTCTTCTCTATATTTGTTAAAGATTTTCACTTTACAAAACTCTTTTTTAAACTTATACATAATCTATTAGGTGTAACAACAAATGGGGCTCCCACAAATATGGGGCCTAAAGCGATTGCTTTACTTGCTTTATGGAAGGGCCGTCTCAATAAGGTATTGCCCTTTCCCAGACCATGCATGAATGCGAAATACTTTGTGCATCGTATTGCCCTATGTGGTATGATCAGACCGGGGGGCGCAGGAACAAGAAACTCCATGCACATATTGCATGGTCTAGGTTAACTTTCATTCGCCGATTACGTTAAGAAATGCATATCGTGTACCATATTATGATTAACCAATACAAATACTCATAAAAAAAAATACAAATAATCATCTCAATTTATCACTCAACTGTATAAGTTACTATAATTTGGTTTAATATCTGTTAGTAGACTATATTTGTAAAATAATTCTAGAGAATATAAAATAACGTATAAAGAGAAATGAAAAACAAAAACAGAATTTAATCCGAGCCCACTGAATTCACAGTGTTTTCTTAAGGAATTTAATCCCCTCCTAGTACCCAAGGTTATGAATTATTTCCTCTTAGTATAGAACGAATTACACACTGGTGTAGTGGTACTTCAAACCCCAGTGTTTCAACGAACACAAAGTTCGGTAGCAAATCACACTTATTGTTGCTTTCTTTGAAGTTAAAACAATGCAGAAGGAGGAGAAAGTCAAAAGTTCGTATGGAAATTCTGAGCAGAATAGACTTGTATTTATAGCCAAAGTTGGGCTGAAATTTGAAGAGGTGCAACTCTTCAGAATGGCTGTTTATGCAAAACGGCCATAGCATAAATGCCATAACATAAATGGCTATTTACTTAACAATAAAGAGGGAAAATTAAAGAGGGTAGTTTAATTTTCAGTTACACAACTAAAAAACGGATTGAATTTAATATTAATATTTATTTTAATATTAATATTCTGTTATTAAAACGAATATTTAATAACATTTCTGTTAATATTTTACTATTAACAAATAAATTTGGTCCAAAAAATTAATCAATCAATCGTTTGACCAAATCTGAAGTCGAAGCCAAAGCCGAGATGAGTGAGCGACGACAGTGCGAGGCTTGCCTTCTTCTCAACTCTTTAAGAACTAGAAGAAGAGCAATTGCTTATATACCCATAAAAACCTCTTCCTCTTCCAATATGGGACAATGTCCCTTTGCCAAGGGGAAAAACTTAAATTTTCATTTAAAAAATTCATTTCCCTCCATTTCCATTCACTCTCTTTTAAGCGTTTAATATACTTAAAACCCCAACAATCCCCCACATGAATGGGAATGGATATATCACAGAAATATGCATGAAAAACTATGTGATTCGCAAGCAAGGATTAATTGCATCTGGATAAGTAGGTTTCCCTTTGAACTTTCCACAGTAAACTTATGTCGGATATACTCGATCAATCGGTAGATTTGATATCTTTGAACCGTCGAACTTTGGTGTATACCTTGACAACCATAAGTCACACAACCAACCCTTAACCGTCTTTGGTTCTTATTGTTGTGTTCGTTTCAGCCATGAATACCGCCTGGTTTCATAAGTGCGTAGAGAACTGGCCTTACAAAGTTCTCCTTGAAGCGACTAACACTTCACACTTACATAGGTGATTCCTAAACATGTCATCCCGTAGATACACTATTTGATATACCCTGTATCAAATTTAGAAATTATTAAAAAGCCTTAATGCTTTATCCTTAGTACTGAACATTGTCTCATCATGAGAATGGACCAAAAGTTTAGCTGACAATGTTGAACCGTCAATAATGACTTTGTTTGATCTCCTTGAACCTAGATCTTGGGATCTCTGGTTTTCTAGGTATATTACCGCCACTATGACTTGTCCTCGGCCATAGTCTCAATCCCCTTGATGATTTCTCAACTACCTCTCTAGTTAAGACTTTTGTAAGTGGATCCGACACATTATCACTTGACTTTACATAGTCAATCGTGATAATTCCTCTAGAGAGTAATTGCCTAAGGATTTTATGTCTTCGTCGTATATGACGAGATTTACCATTATACATAACGCTCTCAGCCCTTCCAATTGCCGCTTGACTATCACAATGTATGCATATTGGTGCCAACGGTTTGGGCCAAAATAGAATGTCATCCAAGAAATTTCGGAGTCACTCAGCTTCTTCACTGGCTTTATCTAAGGTTATGAATTCAGCCTCCATTGTAGAGCGGGCAATACAAGTTTGTTTTGACGACTTCCAAGATACCACTCCTCCACCAATAGTGAATACATATCCACTTGTGGACTTAGAATCAGTTGAACCGGTGATCCAATTCACATCACAGTATCCCTCAATCACTGCAGGATATTTACTGTTGTGTAAAGCAAAGCCCTAGGTATGTTCTAGATATCCCAAAACGCGTTTCATTGTCATCCAATGAGATTGACCTAGATTGCTCGTATATCGACTCAATTTACTTATAACACAAGCTATATCTGGTTGTGTACAATTTATGATGTACATTAAGCATCCCAACACAAGAGCATAATTCAATTGTGATATGATTTGGCCTTTGTTCTTTGCTAATGCAAGATTTACATCAATTGGAGTCTTTGCAACTTTAAAACCCAAGTGCTTGAATGTTTCAAGTACTTTCTTAATATGATGAGATTGTGACAATGTCAGACCTTGAGAAGTCTTATATGGATCTTAATTCCCAGAATTAAATCAGCAACTCCCAAGGTTTTCATATCAAACTTTCCAATTAGCATACGCTTAGTCGCATTTATGTTGGCAATGTCATTACTCATTATCAGCATATCATCCACATATAAGCAAACAATGACTATGTGATTTGGAACATTTTTAATGTACATACACTTATCACATTCATTTATAAATCATTTGACAACATTGTTTGGTCAAATTTCGCATGCCATTATTTGGGTGCTTGTTTTAGTCCGTAAAGGGACTTAACAAGTCTACATACTTTCTTTTCTTTACCTGGAACCACAAACCCTTTAGGTTGTTCCATGTAGATTTCTTCCTCCAACTCTCCATTTAAGAAGGCCGTCTTAAAATACATTTGATGAATTTCAAGACCATAAACTGCAGCTAATGCTACTAACGCTCGTATGGACGTAATTCTTGTAACTGGAGAGTATGTATCAAAATAGTCAAAATCTTCTCGTTGTCTATATCATTTGATCACAAGTCTTGCCTTATATTTGTCAATAGTTCCATCATCTTTTATTTTTCTCTTAAAGATCCATTTAAAGCCCAACGGTTTATTTCCAGGAGGAAGATCAACCAATTCACATGTATGGTTGTTCAATATGGATTCGATTTCACTATCGACTGCCTCTTTCCAAAACAATGATTCTGAAGAAGACATGGCTTCTTTAAATGTTCGAGACTCATTTTCCAATAAGAAAGTCACAAAATCTTGTCCAAATGAAGTAGACGTTCTTTGACGTTTACTACATCTTGGATCCTCCTAATTAAATATACTTTCTTTTATTACTTCCCCAGGTCGTTTAGATCTTTCACCAAACGACTCACATTCCTTTTTATACAGATATATATTTTCAAAGAACTCAGCATTATCTGATTCTATAACTGTATTATTATGAATGTCAGGATTTTCTAATTTATGAACCAAAAATCGATATGCTTTACTATTGGTCACATATCATATGAAAACAAAATCAACAGTTTTCGGTCCTATTTTTATCCTTTTGGGTTTAGGAACTTGCAATTTTGCCAAACATCCCCACACTTTAAAATAATTCAAGTTGGGCTTCCTTCCTTTCTATTTTTCATATGGAATGGATTGTGTTTTGCTATGGAGTACTCGATTTAGTATTTGGTTAGCCGTAAGAACAACTTCCCCCTTCCCCCCGCCATAAGTTCTGTGGCAAACCAGAACTTATCAATAATGTGTTCATCATCACCTTTAATGAACTTAAGGTTTAAGTCTTCCAAGAAATTCCAGAGCTATTCAGCTTCTTCACCGGCTTTATCTAAGGCTATAAATTCAGCCTCCATTGTAGAGCGGGC